TTACTAATTTAAAAGTTATAGCATGAAAACTATAACAAGCACAAAATGGTTACAAGGTCAGTCCAAGTGACTACACCCTTTCCATCACCCACATAACATTTTTTTTACTAAGATTAAAACATCTGATGTCATTGTGAAATCTTAAAAACACTAAATAAATATACAAACATGCATATATATATATATATATATATGTAACAGCTGAGACAGAAACATACAAAACTTTGAACAATGTTTGTTAAGAGTGCTAAAACTCAAGTACTGATGGTTAATTGTTAAAAGAAAGTCCCATGCTACTCTTAGAAGTAGTTCCTCCATCACTGATCATCGTGAGCTTGATGACCATGATGCCCAATACCACATTTGTCATTGTAACAGGCTTCTGCAAATAATTTCATGAGAGATTTTCCATTACACATGAATGTCAGCTTCTATGTTTACCTCTCAAATTATCAACTAGTTTTTATACCATACAAACCTGCAAATCTATGTTTTTTGCTTATTTCAAGCTCAAACACATTACAGGCAGTTAAAAACTGTAAAATTCTATTTATTGCATTTTTTGTTTTAAAATTTCTAAACATATAAAGCAAAAAAACCCATAAAGATATCTCTAAAATCATGGATTATCTTTTCTCATCAATCTACCTGCCATAGATCTCTCATTTATCTTTATATATACTGTACATTTCTAAACTTTTAGTTATTATATCAGAATCCTTCCTGTGATCACATCTGCAAATAATCCAACTGTATCATGGTTTTTATTTTTTGGGGGTATACTGCTTAAAGAAAAGAAAATTGTTTTATTGGTTTCCCTTCTTGTTTGTTCTGATGAAATAATTGCTTAGGTGATTGTTTTTACTTTACAAAACTCTCACTGGTTATCTAAAACTAATGCAGTGTTGGAGTTTTTCTGAGCTTGGAGATTTTTAATTGCTGTACACAACCTTCTAAAAGATACAGTAGGGAAAATACCATCTTTTTAATAAATACATGTATATATAAAATATAATTTCTTGTAAAATGTATTTCAATGGGTTTCATTGTGATGTCACCAGGCCTATGACTGTATATTTTGCTATTCAAAAATGTGTTTGTTACATAAAATACAGAGAATAAGGGACCAGTTGGTCCTTCAAGGCTCTCCTTGCACACTCATCCTTTAGAATATTACAAATTTAAATCCCCATCATAAATTTCTGCAAATTGCTGCTCTATGGTATTGCCAATGGCAATTCATTCTATAAGTCAATCACCCTGTCTTAATTGGAGCCTGGCAGTCCTTTCCAAACTTTAAACTTGTAGCTTCTCATTCCATTAACTACTGAATACAGCACTGAGAAATTAATCCACTCTGTAAACCTGTCGACTTCAATAAGATCACTTATTACCCTTCTTTTCTCAAGAAAGAATAAGTTAAGACATTCTATTCCTATAAGATAATTCATCTCTAAAATCATTGTAATAGTCATACTGAACCCTTTCCAGTAAGTCAATATTCTTTCTTAGATAAGAAGACCAAAATTATACACAATATTCCAAGTAAGACCTAATTAGTGAGTTTAATAATTACCCTTTTTTTACTTTTAATCAATATATCTATATATAAACTTCTATCTGTTGATTGCTTGCAACAGAGCACTACTTTGATGGTTTTAATGATTTATCCACCACTATGCCAAGATCCTATTCTTATTAACATTAAATGTGTGAACGAAATTATGAAAACCTAAATTAAAGGTCATTTGCCAAATATCTGTCCAGCTAAGCAAATGATCAGTAATACCTCAACATCCTCAATACAGCTAGAAATACTAAAAAGTTTAATGTCATTAGCAAACTCTACTAATTCTGCCTCTAATGTAGATAAGAAAAAGCAAAGCCCAAGTACTGGCCCCAAAGGCACTCTATTATTAAAAAGGGTCCAGTTTGATTGGTCTACTAATAACAACACTTTGCTTTCTCCCTTCCAACCATCCAATAATCACACTAACTAGTGTTTTACTAATGCCTACTAATGTGATTTTCTTAGTATAATATTACACTATAATTTTTCCAACTAAATAAGGAAAATAATCTGGTCTATAATTTACAGGGGAATTATTATCAGGCTCCTTAAAAATAGGAGTAATATTAGGTAAACTCTACTTTCGTCTGGAGCACATTATGCTAAAACAATGGTAAACTGACCAACAATAATTTTTATGCATAATTAAAATTTAGAAAAAATATTATAAGTTTTGACAAACCATTGGTCTGTCTTCTTCATACTTTCATGCAAAAGGTTGTATCCTAGCCATGGATAAGAAAATAGCCATGCTAAGTTGTTTGGAATGTTGACTGTCGATTTACATGAGATTGAACTGTTGAAAAAGATTGCATGGAAAACATCATGGAGGGGTGACGTGCATTGGGCATGGCAGCCTTACAGAGATTCATTTTGCAATTTGAAAATATGCTGCAGGGCTATTGTTAGGTTGCACAGTCCTCAGACAGAGCATGACTCTACCTGGCAATATGAACTGTAATGATGCTGTGAGGCTCCAACACTGGACTGATAGCTAAATATTACACATTTATTCCACAGATTACATGGATCTCAAACTTAAGATGCATTGGCAATTATCTGTACGTAAGGGATGAAATGTGTCCTGTTGGAATTTAAGACATACATAATAATAGTCTAGAGGTTGAATATGTATGGGTTACAACCAAGGTTTTGAGAGTAAAAGGTCTGTAATTGACAACTGTTCTAGACCAACTAACAGAATATGTGTTATGAAAAAAAGGTATATTCATATATTAACAATCATATTAAATCAAGTTTATCTGCACTCACCTTAGCAAACTGTCTCAAGAGAACAATTAATGCACCTTTACCAAAAGGATTTGTTAGACTAGCATGAAAAGCTAATGTGGGATATTCAGCAGACAAGATCATGATCCAACGTTGCTTCAAGAGAAAAATAAAAATATTATATTTATCAATGTAATTTAGTAAATTTTATAATTTATCTAAAACAACATAGTGTAAATATGTAAATCTACCAAATTTAGGAATTTTTAAGGTTTATCTAAAGTGATTTAAATTGTGAAGACTAAAATATGATGCCTAGGAACTGTAATGAGTAAACATGGAAAGCAAAGTTTACTGTTCTATCATTTCAATCCACAGTGAATATTTTTACCAAAAATAAAGTCATGTTACAACAAGCATATAATAGTAAATTGAATGAAATTAACAGTCAGAAATAAGATTATTTTCCAATTCAAAAACCTCACAGTTTAATGATATGCAAGTACTCTTTAAAAGCTTAAAATAAAACAAACAATAGATGTTGGTTGGTTTTAAGCATACACTTATTAGAATTTAATAACATGTAAGTGTCAATGTTACACTGATGGATAACAAAGACATTTCAAAATCTTAATACAAAACAAACATTGAAAGCCCACAAATGAAAACCAAAAACTTACTGTTACCCATGTTGGTACTAAATCACATTTATTCAAGATAAAAATTAAATGTTTGTGAGGTTTCTCTTTCCGAAGGAAGTTTTCAATGTGATGAGAACGAGTACCCATTGGATTTCTCGCATCAAGAACCTGAATGATAACATCTGCAGAGTCAATAACCTGTTCCAAAACAAAAGTCATAATCAGTAGGTAATTAACAATTGAAGTTTTTTTTTTATACAAAGTTTCTGTTTTTTCCCCAGTATTTTAAAAGAAATCTTTGCAGATTTTAAGACAGGAGATATACTGTTGCACATATGATTTTAAAAGGTTTTACTTATTCCTTTGTAATTGGTTGATTTTATTCATTAGCAGTCAAATAATTTCACTCAATCCAGAGAGAACATTCAGAATAAAATATTATTTAATCATAACTTAAATAAAATGCACCTACACATTTCTTATTTCAAGGTGAGTTTAAGCAGTGTACTACATTTTATGAATTTCTCACATCTATATTTCATTTTGAAGTGGAGTTTCAGTCTGTGCTAAACCATTTAATACAAGTCCCAAAACTTCATCACATAATCAAAGGCAGAAGAACTGCACAGAAACACAATCCATGTGGTTTCTTTCAATGGAGAAGAGCAAATGCACTACCCTTCAAACTGGAAAAAATTTATGTATCAAAATGTTTTTGGAGAATAATAATCACTTCAAGTCTTCATACACTGATTAAAACTTGAATAATTCCAGCTCTTCAAACACAAAATCATTAACTTCATACACTAATTTTAAAATTATTTTTATAAATAATTTATTGAAAAATTAGAAGGGGCAGTGAACTACAATTCATATTGAGGCTTTTTTTTCTGTTACTTAGCATTGGGATTGAAGTTCAAAAAAACATACTGGGAACTCTTTATAGCTTTCCTTTAATGCAAAACATTATTTACCTTATATAACTCATTCCATATTCTTTTAGACTGCCCCTTTGTCATGATCATTTCTCTTGGCTCTTGCTTAGTTGCAACATCATCGGTAACCAGGTTACAATCTTTACTGATGTCATATTTTCCTGTTGATTGTTCAGCTGTTGTAACCAGGGACTACAACAAAATTAGCAATGTAGACAAAAAAGTTTTAATTAGAAGCTTAAATGAATAATAATGCTCCAATACAATAATAAACATAAAACTGATTTTTTCATTAGTTTTTAATTTAACATATATATTTATACAATTTAAAACAAAACAAAAAACAATAATAATATAAATAGACACAGAAGCCTATATGAAAGCAACAATTCAGTTTATATATTTATTCATATTTTAATTCACATTCGTCAAAATAATATCTTACAACTTTTTAAGGGATTTAGAAGCATTTTCTAAAATTACTCCAATAAAATAAACAAATGGCATTAAACACTTGTGTTACTCTGATAGTTGGAATAGGCTCAAACACTTTGTATTTGACATATTATTACATTTTCTTCTTTGCTTTCACCCATAAGTTATGTCACAGTGATAGTTAATTGGAACATACTCATGTAAGAAACACTTGAACCACAACGATGCTTGAAATATAACAAATGTCCATGTCCCACTAATGCTTGAAACAGGCTTGAACATTAAATAGTTAAGGCATACTGGTATTTTGAACAGGCTCAGGTATTAAGTAGTTATATCACATTGTTGTTTGAAACATGATCTGGTGTTGAGCATTCATGGCATATTGATAGTGAAAGCTGCTCAGGTAATAAACTGTTATGTCACGTTGATGTGAAACATGCTTGCTTGCTAAATAAGGAGTTAGTGCACTTAATGTAACATATAGACAACAAAAGGCTATATGGTCCTTCAAGGTTATCCTTAAACACTCACTCTTGAAAAAAAATAAAACTTTAACTACTCTTCACTTTTCAGGAAATTATTGATTCCCCCTTTTAAAATCTTGTAAATTGCTAGCCTCCACTACTGCCAATGGCAACTCATTCCATAAACAAATCATCCTGTTAGAAAAATAAAACTACTTACTGCAGCCTACACTATTTCTTCCAAATCTTAAACTTCTATCCTCTTGTCAGATTTTCTTCAGAATAATATTAAAAAAATCAGAGACCTTTATCCTATCAATCCTTCAATGAAATCATCTGTTACCCTTCATTTCTCAAGAGAAAATGAGTTAAAATAGGTTAAAGATATTTTAACCTATTCCTATATATAACCTTTCCATCCTTAGAATAATCCTAGTAGTCCTCTTCTGAACACTTTCCAATAAGTTAATAGTCTTTCTTAGATACAAAGCCCAAAATTTTGCACAGTACTCCAAGTGAAGCCTTAAGTACTATTGTAATGAACTAAACAAAATGCTGCTACAACCAGGGTCAAACAAAAACAATTTATTAAAATGTAGCATAAATCCAAAATAAAACTTTCAAACAACTACAAATTCTATCACTTACAAAAAACAATAAACGTTTGCCTAACCAGGACTAGGTACAAACATTAATAAACAATACAACATTAATCTCAATGTTATCAATTTCAATAAATAAAGAAATTAGGAAAAACAAAATCAGAAGATGAAAAAAAACTAATTCTGAAAAAACACAATGATCCAGAATTAACCAACTTCTCAAGATCAATAACAAGACTGAACAATAAGTAGCAATAAATCTTACTATACCTCATGAATTAACTCATTTATGATTGAGGAAGGCCCTTATTTAGTGGTAAGACCATGAGATAACATCTCATGTGACTATCTATTACCATAACTCTACATAATTTCACAACTTTAATATCTGTATGTCACAGCTAGGGGAAGCTTGCATCAGTTTCTTAATACGTACATACATACTCAAAGTTAATGTGCTCTAGCTCGAAGGTGAGTTAGCAATTTAATCTAACTAAAATTCCATAGTTGAACTAAATGATAGAAGGAATAACAAATGAATAGTAAATAAAACCATAACAAAATAAAAATAGAGTCCCTATCTCACAATACAATTACCTCTTTTAACTTGTAATCAATATAACTATAAATATACCCTAAAATTCTATTAGCTTTGATACTAGTAACAGAGAACTGCTTCAATAAGTTGAATAACTTATCCACCACTATGCCAAGATCCTTTTCTTAACTCACAATATTCATTGTGTGGTTCAAATTATGATAACCCAAAGAGAATTTCTGCACTTACTATTTTTAAACATTTGCCAAATATCTGTTTAACTAACCAACTAACCTAAGTCATTCTGTGAAATCTAAATATCCTCAACTAATTCTAAGAAGCCATTACTGAGAGCAAAGGCGAGTATGTTATAATACATCAACCACACTACATCTACCAGTGCCAACAATGCCTTTTGGTCAATACTAGGACACATCACACCAGGTGTGACACATTATTTATTGTATTATGATTTTTAGCCAGAAATAACTAGGAGTTTAATGTCATCCATAAAATTTATTAATTATGTTGTGCCTATCAACATCATTAGTGTAAATAAGAACAAAAAAAAACAGTCCAACCACTGACACCTGAAACACTTCATTGGTAACAAAGGTCCAATTTGATTGGACTCCATTAATAACAACTATTTGCTTTCTTTCATCCAACTATCTTACAATCCAATTGATTAGCCTTTCCTCAACCCCTACCAATGTAATTTTATCAGACAATCTTTTGTATGACACCTTCTCAAGAGCTTTTAGAAAATATAAGGACACCAAGTCTACACCCTTTCCATCACCCATATAACATTTTTTTACTAAGATTAAAACATCTGATGTCATTGTGAAATCTTAACCATATGATATTCTTTCTTGGCCTCATTACTAATTTGGACTATAATTGTTTTAAATAAAAAATGAAACAAATACAGCTGTGGACTCAACAAGTTTTCCTGGGTATTAAATTCAAGTCAATCAGTCTCATCTTTTTCTCTTTATTACATAGGCCTGTAATTGTTTTATTGTCTTGAAATCTTTACTTGTTCTACAGTAATTCCTGTATGCTGAATCTGAAAATACTATCCATTTTTTCCATCATGTACAGATTTTTACAGAATGTCATATGAACTTTTACATAAGTGAATCATTTTCATTGATATTGGGTCACATTTTGTTATGCTTAAAATGCTGACAACCACTGGCTATAGATTTCTCTAGACCAATTGCGATGTGAGAGACTTATCCTTCTAGAACCCATGAGAAACACACCACTAGTATTCAAATGGTTAACAGGCCACATGACATGTAATTTCTAGATAGTATTTGTTTGTGCACTTTGACATTATTTTTTTCTTTTCAATATTATTTACTCATTGCTATGGCAACAAGAGGTTGTGTAAATGACCTACACATATCCCGTTATATTTGTGGTAAATTGGTAAAGAAACAAAGGCAAAATATTAAAGAATTCGTCAAAAAAGTGTATTACACAAATTTTGGAATAAACTTGGAGACCAAGACAAATCATGGACACTGCACAAAGTTTGCACCAATGAGCTGAAACAATGGACTAAAGGTAAGAAAAAGTCTTTGTGTTTTGGAATTCCAATGGTCTGGCGTGAGCCTAGAAACCATGGAGATGACTACTATTTTTGCTCACGTAACTCAATCTGCTATAAGACCTGTTGCTCATGGAC